AGAAACCAAACTTACACTCCTCCTACTAGGGATGGCAACAAAACCCGAACTCACGGGTACCCACCCGACCCAACCCGGTCAACGCGGGTAAAACCCGTGTTGACGGGTTTTGGGCCGGGTTTGGGTTTAAACCTGCTACACTATTCACCGGGTCGGGTTGGGTTTGGGTTTAGGTAAACCCGCCCCATGGGTACCCGCCCACACACATATAATTACTTTCCCGGTATATTTAATATTCTAAATAATATATCTTCCTTAAACAACTAATATTCTATATGTTTGTGGAGACATATATAATTTGTTCTTTCTAATTGTTTAGAATGAAGTTGATATTATGAAGTGGAGAGTGAAGAAACTTAGTTGACGAGGAAGAAGCTTTCAATTAATCTTATTGTTTATATATGTTTATCTTTAATTTTGAACAATTTGTATTGATCATTTGCGGTTTGTTTGTATGCTCTAGATTAGTGTTTTTTGTATGATTAATTTGTATGAGAAAATTGATGTTAAACTTTCATTTTGAAAGAAACTTGTTATTGTAAATTTTTACCACAAAACCCCACGGGTACCCATGAACCCGCGGATACCCAGCGGGTTGGGTTGGGTTTGAGTTTTTCAAACCCAACGGGTTTTACCCCGAGTTTTTTTGACGGATAAACCCATGAGTTTGGGTTTGACAAAACCCGCCCCAACCCGACCCATTGCCATCCCTACCTCCTAGTGACAATTATCTAGTAGCCGCAATGAATATGAAGATCAGGATGGTGAGGGAATCCGATTGATGGAGATGGTAGTGATAGTAGTAGTCGTAGTGCGAGAGCCACTTTATACCTTCCTTGCGTTGCTCATCTTCTTTTTCTTGTGTAGCCTTTCTTGCCATGTCAACGTTGAACTACTTTTCGAGACATTGGTGTGCGGCTGACTAATTGCGCCACTCAACAAAATGAATGGTGTGTACCAAAAGAAATAAAATCACCGGTTCGTATGAGATGGAAAATTAGAAATTCACTTGTTTTACATTAAAGTCTTCGATTTTTATTGGTTACTCTAGTTTTGATATGCATATATGAGCTTGGAGTTCTAATAATTCTTTACAAGAACATAAGAGCATTTTCCAAGAAAGTTTTAGTGGAAAGGTTGATTTGGATATATGAAAGCTCTCTCAAATTATTTTAATATCTTGTAAATTATAAGTGATTTCGGTTTGTCGGTTAGCGGTTATACCGAGAAATTTAATAACCGACGATTAACGGTTATATCATTAAGCGATTATAAGTTATAAGTGTGGTTATCGGTAGGCTAAAGTGGCTTCTGGTGTAACCGCTTACCGAATAGCTAGTAAAATGACACCTAACATAGTATAAATACCTACGAGTGTTCCTTCCAAAAAAACTATTGAGGCTCGGACAAACAATTGGTCATCGTCTTCTTTTCCCAGTTTCCTCCCAATGTGAACACTAAAATTTAAAGAGGAGCATCGTTAATTTTGCGATTGAAAATGTAGGAATAAAATTAGATTGGAAAGATCATATGACTTATGCTCGAGGAATGATAGCAAAGACCATACTCCAATTTCTTCCACCAATGACTTCCCTCACCTAGTTTGTCTAACCTTGCCAAATAACTTGCTAAAAGGCTAGTCAGTTAATTGACATAATAATAGATAACTGACTATATGGATATAGTCAACTGACTAATATAAATGATGCGATTTACAATAAGAAAAACTTGATTAACCGATAATATAAAAAAATTCAGAGGCCAATAAAAAAAATTGTAGGAAAGGAGTACCATAGGAAGCCAAGTCATTCATGCAAAGTTATCTTCAACAAAATTTCCTTTTGAACTCATTCAACAGCCATAAATTCCACTTTCATTGGTTACCCTTTATTTGCTTTAGTCGTGCAGAAATAAGTAATTTTTGAATTCTCCAAGGTCTGTTTTTGCATGGAAATTACTTCAGACCATATTCTCCCACATATAGATATATTAAAAAAAAAAAAAACAAGCAGGTCCACAAGAAAATTCACAACAAAAGCTTTGATGTTCTCCCGCATCTTACCCAATTAAAATTTATAAACCATTAGTAATTTATCTAATCAAACTTCAAACCCCTTTATTAAGTGAAAAAATAATATATAATTTGATAGTAATCTTTCATGGGCTTCTTACTTTTGTGATCCCCCAACAATCAGGCCCAAAGTTTAGCCAGTCTCTCAACGGTGACTCGGTGAGGGCCAGTCTGTTGTGGGAAAAGGAAAATCACAAGCTAACCTTCACAGCCAATCAACCACCGTACAGTAGCCGGTGGCTTTGAGTTTCCATTGCACCGGTGGCAAAGAGTTGGCTAATATTTTATATAATTTGAAATTTGATTAATAAAAAGAAATGCGTAAAAAATTGGATTAATAATTAATATTTATCCAAAAAATAATATTGAAGTCCTCAAATTTTTAACACATATAAATTTTTTCTTTCGTTCGGCATATAAAAAAAATCCTCTCACCGTAATCGAGAAAACCTTCTAATCCAACACATTTGTTTTATTAAGACAAATTTATTTGGTCATAAACACATTGTCTGATATGTCTATGAAGCGAGCAGCGCTCTTGTTGAATTTTTTAGGTATTAAAATTTTGAGTTTAAAGGTTTAACTTTTTATTAAACTATTGTGTAATTATAAGGAAATCGTTTTAGTATGTAATTAGAGAAACATAATTAACCAAATAAGTACATGTGATCTTCCAATGTCTAAGATTTAATAGAGTACATGTGATCTTCCAAAAAACTCTTTCATCTAAAATTTAATAGTTTGACAATCCTAAAATAATAGCGTAATTTTCATTTAATTCGTATCCATGTGTTATGTATACCCATTTCTTGCCATCGTCCCTTATATAGTTGTAGTCATAGGGCCAGTGGCGGACCCAGGATTGTCGGAGAGGTGTGTCGCCGATAAAATAAAATAATAATTAAATTAAAAATTAATTAAAAATTAAAAGAAATTAATTCATAAAGTTCATAATGTCATGTTTACAACGAACCGCGACGACTTTTCATCTGCTGAAATGTCTCTAAAATACATTCATCACTTATGCTGCAAAGCAAATCTTTTTCAATATACACAACTAAACAATCATTCATAAATTGGTCACTCAACCGATTTCGAAGATCGTTCTTGATTATCTTCATAGCTGAAAATGCTCTTTCGCAGCTTGCAGTTGCCACAGGTAAGGTCAACACCAACTTTAACAGCAAGTAAACTAAAGGATAAAGAGTGTCATTTCCCCTTTCCACCAATTTCCTAGCTAGCTCGTCGATTCCTCGAAATCCATCAAAGCTCTTATCCTCCTTGACATGAGAAATGTAGCCCCCAATTGTTGATGAAGTCGTGAGAGCACATTGGATGGAAACTCCTCGGGATAAAACTAAGTAAGACTTATCAACTTTGCTTTATCAAAAGAAGCAAAAGAGTTAGCTGGACTAAAACAAGAAATGCAGTCCAACAATCGAGTGTTCACATCACCAAATCGAGTATTCAATTCTTGCAGCTGCAAATCTATAACTGCATAGAATAAATCGACTTGATAGTAATGTATATTGTATGCGCGAAGAGTGTTTTTTTTAATAGGAAGGATAGGATTATGCTTTATGAGTTATTTTAAACAAAATTAAAAAGGATTATGATTAAGATTGATTCATTTGGATAATTATTTCTTCGAGTATAATAAAGGTGTGTCGGCTATAATTATTGAGGGTGTGTCGGCTATCCCGAAGTAAAAAAATTTGTACCAAAAATATGTAGGTCCTTCGTAAAATTCTCGAGCGAGGGTGTGTCGGACGACACACCCTGGCATGCCTTAGGTCCGCCACTGCATAGGGCCTTATCCAAAAACAATATAGCTCAAATATAAGGATCGTATATAATAATTTTTATCAATAAATTGATATAATCTAACCAATAAATAGAAAAACTTATTACACATAACTATATTTCCGATTAATATCATTGCATTGCAACTCGAATACACAATCACACGACTAGACTACATCATTTGTAAGAAAATAAATTTTTTTGGCATACATAATTGAATCGCAGGTTTGAGTCAATATGGAGAGTCTAAAGTCTAAACTTGTTTTCTTTAATGAATCAGATTATAAACTTGTCGGTAACAACTAACAAAGCTATTTATTTTCGAGATATAATTACCAAAAAGAAAAAGGTCATCAAAAGGAATTTCCTCGAGGTATGGCTATGCCCATGCTACACCCCGTCCCGTCCACCTAAGCGAACAGTCTCTTCTTCACACTCACTTTCTCCTTTTCCTTCCTAATCCTCTCCCACATCAAACCCTATAATAAAAACGGGGACGAGAAATTAGCGCCATTTCAGAATCAGGCATACAGAAAGGAAGAAGAAAAGGAGGGAAAGAAAAACAACCCGCAGATTGAGAGGGGGGCAGAAAGAAGAAGCATCTCTGCCTTTTGGGTTCTCTGGAAAATATCCCTTTCTTTCTTCCTCCTCCTCCTCCTCCCCTTTTTCTAACCTCCCGTTCCTCGATTTCTATCTTCCCCTCTCCTTCCTCTTTATCTACTGCTCGGGGATTGCTGCTGCACACTTCCGGCGATTCTGTCTCAACTCAGAGTAGGTCTTTTCATCCCATCTGAAAATTCGCAGCTATATTCTTGGTGGGTTCTGATTTATGTTCTCTGCATGCTCAGTTGCTGTCTTTCTCGTCTGATTTTGAATTTAGGGCTTTTGTTGTCGGTGCTTCTCCTGGCTAATTGAACCTAGATTTAAGCTCGATTGTTCTCAGCTCACTGTTCTGGGAATATTTTACTGTGCATACTACGGCTGTCGATTTCTATGGTTTTACTTTTGATTACTCGTGGATGTACGGTTGATTGATCTGATGTTCTGATTCCGGTTTGTGGGTCTTTTTGTTTCTTTGCTATGTTGGTTTTCCAGAGATTGAAGAGAAGTTGTTGTTCTTGTGATCATGGGGAAGGGGTCGAAGCCCAACTGCAAGTCGACCTCACACAGGCAGTTCAAGGACAGGGCCAAAACCCGAGTAGATGATCTTCAAGGGATCTTCGTTGATCTCCAGTTTGCCAGGAAAGAGAGCCGCAACGTCGACGTGGCGGTTCTTGAAGAGCAAGTCCATCAGATGCTCCGAGAATGGAAATCTGAGCTCAATGAGCCATCTCCTGCAAGCTCTCTGCAGCAGGTGAGAATCCAGTCTTACTTTCATCCCGGATTTTGAAAGGAAAATGTATATTTTATGCATGCTTATTAATGCATTGCTTTTTGCTGTCGAGTCATGGAAGTTTTTTGTGTGCATATCATACGTTTGTGACAAACATGGACGGTGTGGTATTATTTTGGTCATGATTGTGAATCTTCATTTGGGTTACAGTGTGGTATTATTTTGGTCATGGTTGTGAAGCTTCATTTGGGTTACAGGGTGGAAGTCTTGGATCCTTCTCGACAGACATATGCAGACTGCTGCAGCTCTGTGAGGAGGAAGATGATGCTACTAGCACATTAGCTTTGCCAAAGCATGAGCCTAATGACCAAAGTTTGCAGGGTGATACTAACACAATGTTTCCTCAGGTGGGTCTTCTGCTTCTTATTGGTTCCGCTCGAGTTTGTTTATTTTGGTGAGTTTCAGCCCACCAATTGGGCTATATTTGTTTTTGCACAAGTGCAGGCTGTTTGTTATGCAGAGATCTAGTTCTTATGCATACTTACACTTCTATGGGGATCCTGGTTTTGAAGGTTTTGGTCTGAGACTTTGCATTACTGATATACTGGCTTTGCTAAGTATGCCAAATCTGTTAAATTTTCTTTCTGGGAATTTTTCATGGATCAATCATGATAAAGCTGAGCATTACCACGGAAATTAAAAGCCAGAATTTAGCGTACTGGTCATCTACCACATGTGGTTATTGGCTTATTGCTGTTGGCTACAAGTTTTGTGTTAGCTAATTTTTTTCATTCATCTTGATGTACAACACAAAGTTTTATCTGCATATCCTCTAGTTTTGTTTCTCAAAAGTCAATTTATTAATTAGATGTGCGTGTTTTTGTTGAGCACAAGTGGAAGTCCAGTTGTTTGGGAAATGATTTATCCATATTAGTAGCTTAGCTGTTTAATGAAGAGACTGTCAAATAGAGAACGTAAACTGCATTGGTTATTGCTTTCACTTTAGCACCAGGACCAATCCAGAACTAATTAAGTTTGCCGTGTGTTGCATTACAGGGTTACGGATTGAATCATGGACAACAGGATCATAGCTTTCCATATGCCACTCAAAATAAAGATTCTCCATCAGCAGGTCGTGGGGTAGTTGTCACCAACTTGGAAGGTACTGCTCAGTTGGATTACCATCAGTTTGATCTGCCTCAAAACTTTGACCAAAGCTTCTATCTCGGCTTTAATGGGATGAATCTATGTGGTGAAGATGGTACCACCCAGAATCTTGCTAGTAGCTATCTTCCAGGTATATGCCCTCCGCCTTCAGCCTTCTTAGGCCCGAAATGTGCACTCTGGGATTGTGCTCGACCAGCACAGGGTGGGTTGGACTTTTGGCAGGTCTACTGCAGTAGGTTTCATCATGACCTAGCCCTGAATGAAGGCCTCCCGGGAATGGGCCCTGTTCTTAGGCCCGGAGGCATTGGCCTGAAAGACGGCCTTCTCTTTGCAGCTCTTGGTGCAAAGGCTGAGGGAAAAGATGTCGGTGTCCCAGAATGTGAGGGAGCTGCAACCACAAAGTCTCCTTGGAATGCTCCTGGTAAGTTTAGATGAAGCTTTCGTTTATTTTTACAGCTTTGTCTATTGAAGTAAGTATTACCTCCTACCTACATGTGGCAAATGGAATGGGTTGGTGGCATCTCTTGAAAATTCTATGTGCTTTGGAGGTTATTTCATTCATTTGTCAGGTCTTAGGGCTAAGGGGTGTTGGATGAAATTTTACAAGGTCTGATATTGAACTGTAAAATGACTTGTGAATTAGTTTGTTTAGTGGCTGTGGTAAAGTGAATTTTTGGACTGAATTGGCAAAAGATCGATTTGAATTCCAGACCAGTTTGTCAAATTCTGAAGTGAATTCGGTACTGAAATCTAAGGCCCATAAGGATTTTTGTAGTAAGTTCTAAGACAACTCAAAATTCTTTGTTATTATTATATGGAAGGTTTAGGTACTGAAATATGGGGAAAATGTTCAGTTTCTTTTAAACCCATCGACACCACCTATCCACTCGCCAAACCAATGGATATGGTGGGTTAGATGGGTTTCAAGTGGTTGGGTTTTGCTGATATTTGCCACCTCTAGCTGAGATGTTCCGTTGACATCATGGACTAGCATATTCACTGTGTTATCTTAGATGACCCAATCATGCTTTTCTTTTCTGTACTTTGCAGAACTCTTTGATCTTTCGGTTCTTGATGGTGAGACAATCAGGGAGTGGCTCTTCTTTGACAAGCCACGTCGAGCATTCGAGAGCGGCAACAGAAAGCAAAGGTCGTTGCCTGATTACAGTGGGCGTGGATGGCACGAGTCGAGGAAGCAAGTCATGAACGAATTTGGAGGACTGAAGAGGTCCTATTACATGGACCCACAACCATTGAACAACTTCGAGTGGCATCTGTACGAGTACGAGATCAACAAGTGTGATGTCTGTGCCTTGTATAGATTGGAATTAAAGGCCGTTGATGGGAAGAAGAGTGCTGCCAAGGGCAAACTGACCAATGACAATTCAGTGGTTGTTAATCTACAGAAGCAGATGGGAAGGCTTACAGCCAAGTTCCCTTCCGATAATAACAAGCGTTCTATGAAAGGAAGAGCCAAAGTGGATGCTAAAGTTGGCGCTGGAAATCCTTATCCAGTGCCTAACCGAGTGGTGCCAGCGAATGAAGGTTTCGATTATGGACTCGGACCACAGTACAATTACCTTGGTGGTGATTATTATGGGACGTGAGAAGAAGGCGGCTGGCAATTATGTGAATACTATTGCTTGGTCTTTGTCTTTGTTTAATAACACGAAGCCAACGCTTCCATCTCTGTCTTGGATATGGAATGTGCATATAGTCAAACGTTGATTGGAAAGTGCTACCCCCAGGTTTATAGCTTGGAAGCTGGAGCTCATTTCTAACTCATTGATGGCGACGAGAAAATGGCTATTTTTTCCCCGCAGCCCATTTCGATTAACATTACATGTGGTGTGTTGAAACAAACACACTGAAATTCTGGCAATTTTGTGGTACTGTCGCTTGATTGCCAAGATAGGTATAGTAATCTATTATGGCAGTAACTTTTGGTTATCTGTAATGATGCAATCTCTGTGGAGATTGGTTTGTTGTGAAGCTTTGATATGGTTGCACCGTAAACATCATTTGTCCTGCGGCATAAAACTTGTAAATGAAAATTGGAGTTGCCTAGCCATATGTTATGCCGAAGTTCGTATTGCTCTCGGCCAGATAGTGTTTCTCGCAGAGATTGTGTGGTTGGTTCACACATTTATGTATGGTGGTTCTTATGGTTGTAACCGTGCATGGATGACTCAACTTTTTGGTACAAGGATAACAAATTCAATAATGGCTTTGGTGACCGAGGTTATCAATCCCTTCGTGATAAGCAATGTTGGCGGATTATGCTAGAGCTATCCTTCTTGCTTGCGAGTTCTTTCCACGGATCTTCCTCCATGGTTTTGGTGTGGCCTTGTGCATAGTCTTTTTTTTATTTGGCAGCTGATCACTGCAAGTTGGGGATGACGAGATGATCAATGGTCTTCACAATCACAACCATTGGCTCCAAAGCATGTTCCCTCCGTTTTGAAGGTGCTTTCATTTATGCTCTCTTTCCTCCAGTGCATGTGCAGGTACTTCTACCCCGCTATCTGTTCGACATTACAACAATTCTGGCTTGTACTCAGCACGCTCCAACTACCATCTAGCCATGTCACTTACGCCCTAATGCTAATGTATTGCGGCCTGGAGTGCTACCTATAGACCGGTCATTGTACCGACCCACCTGGCACTTTCACAGTTCCTCTTGCTCCTCCCTAGTACCACTTGTTCATCCGGCAATTCAAGCACCAGGCCTGAGAACTCGTTGTTGCCCTGTTTCTGCCGACCTCTATAAGCATGCTCTGCCTTCACTTTCTTTGCCAAAATTTATAGCTTTACCGATCCCTCCGTTATCCGCCTTGAGTGCTCCTATCACCCACCTCACAATCCATGTCAATGGGGTCATTTGCACGATGAGTGGTGAAGCTATTGGTTTGGGACTGGCTTTATCAAGTAGGTTCAGTTCACACTTGGGAGGTCTGCTTAAAGGATGGCAGACCACAAGCTGCTCGCCTTTGTGGATGCACTTTCTTGTGGCCTATCATGTTACCTGACATTATTTTGGATCATTGACGATGCAGAGTGTCGATTGATCTCCTTAGGATATGCACAATCACTCATGCTCGCGTGTATGTATACAACTTTGCAAGAGTTGCATGCACCCTTTTCCAATTCGCGAGATGGTAGATTTTCTTACATTAGTTGCATACTTGTTTAACAAGTTGGTTGTATTTTTTGCAACAAGATGAGCTTGAGGATCTCATAGGATCGCATTAAAGAGATACTCTTCATCTCCCAACGACAAGATTCATACTCCCTGGTGATTGTTCTACTCCTCAGGAGGTTGATTTTGTGGAGAAGCGTCAATGATCATTTTAGTAAATCTAACCACGTACCCGAAACAATTTGAAGCAACAATTGGCTCAAACATTTGAAGGTTAGCTTTAGCATAATCGGCCATATCCACAATCCCATGACTGGGTACATATGTCACCTCAATCAATAGAAAATTAGGGCATCTATTACCTATTTCAAGACTTCAGACGAGACTGACCATTAACACTTGCACTGCATTAAGGACACCACAGGCAGCACATTGGACATCTTAAATTGTTCCGCATGTATCCGTTCCCTAGCTGCAATCATATAAGCATTTATGACATTGGTACACTTTATTGCCCAAAGTTCTCCTTTACTGTTTCAATTTTTGTCCTCTTCTGTGCCCACCTTCAGCGAGCTACTTTTCTTCTGGATTTCTTGCCCGCCACAACGGAAGAAAGGTTTTATCTTTCCCCAAGACCATGCTCACCCTGCCCCAATCCCATGCCTTCATCTTACTGCCTGAAAATCCGGAAGCCCACGTCTTTTCCGTCATCTTACACTCCCCAAATCTTGCCATCCCGGTATGCTTCTCAATGGTACAAATACAATAGCCTCTGCAACCCACTTCAGCACGCCACCCACTTCATCACTCCAACTCTCCAACATCAAGCCACACCTCTCACAGCTGTTCCTCTTTCCCAACACCCAACCGCTTATTCCACCTAATCTTCCGATTCTTCTCTGTCAAACCCATTTTTCTTACAAGTTTTGTTCATCCTCCTCTCTCTCTCCTGAACCAGACCCCCAACGATGGTCGACGGAAATGAGCCTGACTGATCAACGACAACAAAATCGGTTCGGTCACCATCAATCTTTAAGGTAAGACTTATGGTCCTCTTCTTTTTCTTAGATTCCAATGTGGAATCGGATGCCATTATTGGTGAGTGTGTAAATTTGAGCCATGCTATGTAGTTTCCAACATGTAAGTGAAAGATATATATTTTGTTGCTGATCTGCGGTGGCTGAGTATGTTGTTTTCATGAGCATTTTATGCAGGGGAAGATTGGCGGTGCATAAGCTGAAGGTAGGGGATCAGAAAACGACTCTCTAATTGCTTCTTTTCTTATTTACCTAACTGATGTGGAAATATTGGGGATACAATGAAACTGCTGGTTTTCCTATTCTTTTCATTTTTTCTGTTGTCTGTTCTTATACGAGGTTTCATGGTTTTCATTGCTTTTGAGATGGAGAACAAAGCATGCACTTGAGACTTGAAGATTGTAGTTGAAGAGCAGTGGTACAGTCCGGTTGAGGCCGTCCTTTAGCATGGAGGATCTGTATGTAGATCTCATTGTCAGTTCTTAAATCAGGTGCCACCTACCATGCTAAAGTTTGCTACTTCTTTCTAGGTCTCCTCCGGACATTCAGCCACGCTGACACAGATGATAATGCAATGCCAAACTATAAGAGGAAACAAGCGCTCAACCTCCTCTTCTCAAGTATGGTCTGCTGTACTTTGCACCTACATAATAAAGAGAAGGCTCTTTTGCTACGACTTACAAGATTGATAAGTGGATTAGTGTTTTTTCATGAGTTTAACCTTGAATTTAGTGGAGCATAATCCGCGGCAGAGCATTTTACTCAATCTTGCAAGGTAGATGGTATCGAGAATGTGGAACTTAACTCACTTTCCATTTGATTGGTTTTCTTCATTTTCAATATCCAATCCGCGTAAGGGATATTGGACTTTACAGTATTTTTCCTTATAGCTGGTAGTATTTGAATGTGTAGTTATAATTCATACCACCATTGTAACATTTGATAGGAGAAATAATTAATTTCGTTCTGCAGCTCACTCATCTTATTGCTATATAACGCAATCAAGCGGCCTTTGCGTAACGATTCTTGGTGATCATCATTTCTATAACTTGATTTAGTTGTGTAACTGCAGGTTCTGGAGTTGCACTTTTGTTGTTGGCTAATATGTGTTCTCCTATCAAGAGCGAGATGGATCTCATTATACTGTAAGTTCACATTTCTAACTCTCATTCTTAACATTAGATCATCGCTATTTTCCAGCTTTGATATGCTTTATGTTGGTCATAGTAGATAGAAGTTCGATTTGCAAATGCCTCCCTCTCATAAGTTTCAATGAATTTGGTCATTTCCTCATACAACTTCATCACTGAAACCTGATAGCAGAAAACTCTGCTACCTTGCTGTATTTTAGCAAATTTCATCTTTAGGGAGTACTCTCTCACTTCGTATTCCTCCTTCCACGGTTCCATTGCCTTTTAAGAAAAAAAAAAACAAATTCTATGTATCGAAAGTATAAGATCCAAACGTTCTACAAAGTTAGTCTTGAGTTTCGACCTCATACAGCTGAACTTCAAATGCACATTAATTTGGCGTATTCATACGCACTATCTCATTTAAATGCCTTTGTTTCTTTTTGAAAATTGTCTGTTCAATAGATTTTGGAATCAGATTTTACATTGCATGGGTTGGTTGGATGGTAATCTCACTGGATGCTGAATTAGAAAGGGAAATGCTATCAACTCTGATATTAACTTTATGATTTCCTGCAAGATTGCTTATCATGTTTCCTGTCATCAGTCGGGGCACTATGAACTTAATGGTATGATTGACTTACTTGATGTGTGATAATTGCATGAAGATCAGATGTTTCTCATACGTTTTTCTTCTTATATTATTTTTATAATATTTACAGTGTGCATGGGATGGTATCTGGAAGCAAGAAATGGAATAAGTGAAGCTTCTCAATTGAGGGATTACCTTGCCAGTCCCTCTTGCTGACTTGCATTCTACTTCCCATCCGTTCAATCTGTATTTTTGTTTTGCTTATACATGACCTTGTAGTCTCACCATTCTGGATCTCTGAACTCTGCTATTTACTTTGAATTTCTTACGTTGCAAGGTTGATGGTAGTTACAGACTACCCTTTGTTGTTTCTTTACCTCCTCCTTGCAATGTTGTTGTGCTTCTATTTATCAAATCATGTATCCGCTTTAGCTACTCTCACAAACCAAGATTGTATTGTCAATAATTTTTATGTTTCATTTGCCTCGCCTAGCGCTCATAGCCTCGTCATGTTGTTTCCCATTCCCAATTACCCTTCCAGCCCCATCATCATTTCCCTCTGTTTCAACTTTCATCTGCTGCTGCTGTACCTGAAGTAGGTCACGATGCTGTTTTTTAACCACTTGAGTAGCCAAATGTTGTTCGAATTCTGACCCATAGTAGCTTTCAAATGGGAGAGTGGGTTCGATTTTATTATACGAAGGTTGTGATGGTATGGTAGTGCATTTTGCCTTATGAGCACAGGTCCAAATCTGTAGTGGTTTTCGTAAAGGATACAATTAATTGATTGAGTTAGTTGGACACATTCCTCTAAATTGCCAAGCCTCCTCACTACTAATTAGAATATGATATTGCAGCAACTTAAGTACCCGCGGCGTAGCCGTGGGTATTGATTCTAGTATATATAATATGTAACCCAAAATGAGAGGCTACCACAAGGCATATTCATCTGCATCCCTATGCCAGCAAAGAGCTACCACCATAGTTACAAGCTTACAACAAAATATTCAGGCCCTAGCAAGCAAGGTTCAAATGCCTGCTGCCCTTGGTGAAAGCCAAACATAGTTCCAGCAGTAGTACTTGCCTGCCCTTCAGGCACCATCATCGTCAGGATTGTTGACTCGTTCACACTCATCAATCCATTCGCTGTATCTGCAGTAAGACCATTTGCAAGAAAGCATTAGTGGGCACGATAAATAATAGCAAGGATTGAGGAACGATACTTGATAAGTTCTATGGTGGATTGACTTACACATCAATCGGCTCAGTCAAAGCTGTAAACACAAGGAAAGCAAAGAGAACAAAGTCAGCTACCGGAGAAAGTTTACAAACGTAACATTTTCGGCATGAATAAGCGAGTGGCTATACAACTGTCATCACTTAGGTTACAAATTGAACCCTTTTGATGATGTTACAGTAAGCTCTTCATTCATAAGGTTATGAGAAGTAAAAACAAAGGTATTTATTTGAGCCAAAATCAGACACTGCATTATACAGGAGATTGGCAAATACCTGTGATAGTGGTGCTGAAACTCTCTTGACAGATACCACACGAAGCTTCACCGATCATGTTCTTCATATCACTGAACAATATCCATTAAGACAAGTTAATATGACAACCAAAGCGATGAATTATAATACCACTGAGATTATTCCTCCCAAACCCCAAGAACTGAAAGAATCCTTACATGCGGCACTCGACACTTGTTCCATGATTGCAGAAGGGACAACTGAACACAGTGTCCAGCTTGTCCATTCTCTTCTTAGGTGGTGGCTTTGCCTTTGACTTCCTCTTTCCCATGTCTAATTCCTACAACAACAAGCAATAAACAAATCGTTTCAACCAAACAATATCATACTTATCCCTTCCTGCTCTCCTCCGCTCGCTTATTCTCTGACCCATTCACATCTTTCTCAAAAACAACAACATAAACCCAAAAAGTCCTGAGGATGATATCCAACAATCAACACTGTTGAGTCAAACTAGATGTAAAAAGCAATTTCGTTTTCTAAACCTAGGGTTCATTCGCTATCTCAAATTACGACGACAAACAATTACCTAGCGGGAACGGCGATTAACTGAATCCAACGACGATTTCGATAATGAGACGATTACGTGCAAATACCAAAAAAGGGCGACTGAGGCACCGAGGAAAACAACGGGCGAAAGCACAGGATCCTCTACAGAGACGAAGGAAGAACAATGGCGATTCTCACTATTCTCAATCGTCAATCGGAGCTGCGAACCCTAATCCCCTTATTGATTTGATTGGGTGAAGAATCAGAAGATAAGAGACAAAACCACTAAACCCGCGTGGCTTTCATTCGTGTCATGGGGATTACAAAACACGCGCGCATATATAAATGCAGGTCCAGTGAAATGGTTTGTCCTCCTCATCCTCCAAATCCAAATCCTTTCAGCACCCACCCCAATCAATTTTTCTTGTCTAATGCGCAGAGTACGAAAGGGTTGTTTAGTCTTATCAAATTATTTTATCTCAATTATAATTATGCAATCTGTCTCTTATTAGTTTTCAAGGTAGGATATCTCATTTATTTAACATCGATGATATAGTTTTCAAATAAAATTGAATTACTTATTTATGTAGTTTAAAATAGAAAATGCATATAGGTGTCATGTTATGTAGCATGGTATGCGTTTTACAAGCATTCTCAATAAAAAATTTGTCAAAACTTTCATATTACAACTTGTTGTGGCTAATACTTGAGTTGTTCATACATGAATTTGAATTGCAAACTTCTTTAAAGAATGAATTTCTTGATATATCCAAATATCGTCTGACGACATGAGAATCAAATTGTCTCTAAGATGTTAGAAACTCAACCAATTCATTGGTCTAATATGACAGTGGAATCGAGCTCCTAAAAAATCTTATTGCCAAAAATTTCTGTGTAAATCTTATGTTTTCCACTTTGTCAGAGTAATCTTGATCCCGAGATCGAATAGTTTGCTCTTCAAATTGTAATGAGATTGGATTGGAAGAATTGAAGATCTCATATTTGCCATTGATGAGTACCAATTTTACCTTGAGCTTGAGATTTATTTTTATGAGATTGTTGGTTGTTTTACGTGGTAGTTTATATTTTTTATTTTATAAATTGAGTGGGTATTAAAGTTACCTTGAGTTGATTTTAGGATGATGGGACTTAACAATGATTAAATAAGCAATAAGCATTCCGAATAAAATAATTTTTCAGAAGTTTCATCTATTGTGACTATATTTGAGCTATGATAACTTGGAAACTGAACTGCAAATTCCTTTAAAGTTAGAATTTCTTAATATATCCAAATATTGTTCAATGATCTGAGTTGTCCCGAAAAGTCTAAAAGAAAAAAATTCACCAATCAATTTGTCTAATATGTAATATGAAAGCGGACTCGAGCTTCTATAAATCTTATTATAAATCTAAACTTTCAAAAGATAAATCCCACCAAAACATAAAAAGAGTAAAACAAATTGAAAATGAAGGATGAAGAGGTTCGACAGCTCAATTTTAATCTAATGAGTTAAGATATCTAAATGTTGATGTTATATAATATTTAGAACAATGCATAGATGTCAAACTAAGAAACAAGCTACATTTTGGTGGATAACCTCCTGCAATTTTAATCTAATGAGTTAGGATATTTAAATGTTGATGTTATATAATATTTAGAACAATGCATAGATGTCAAATTAAGAAACAAGCTACATTTTGGTGGATAACCTCATGCAGACAATAAGCGATATTACCCACTCGAGCTTCATGCCATTGCATCAATGTATTTTGTTGTGTATTATAAATTTGCAATGTCAAAAAATTATGATTTTATACTAATTGTTTTTGTGATAAAAGTAACAGAGATGCACTACCTCCTCTAACAAGAGTCAAATATCAAATCCGGCTACCAACCATCAAATTATTAAAAGTGTAAATAAATTGATAATAAAGGTTGTGTATTATATATTTGAAGTTTCAAAAAAAAAAAAAAGACTGCATACTAATTTATTGTGTGATAAAGATGATGGAGATGCACCACCTTCTTTGACGAGAGTTAAAGATCAAACCCGACCTCCAACCTCCAAAACATTAAAAGAGTAAATAAACTAAAAATAAGTTATTGAGAGGTGGTAATTGTTTTTATGATAAAAGTGACAGAGATGATGAAGATGCACCACCTTCTTTGACGAGAGTTAAAGATCAAACCCGACCTCCAACCTCCAAAACATTAAAAGAGTAAATAAACTAAAAATAAGTTATTGAGAGGTGGTAAGCTCTGCTTCAATCTAACAAGGCATTAACATCAAATGCAAACGCTTTCTCTGATATTTAAGACAATGTGTATATTTGATGCAAAATTGTCAAAATGATGAATGAGGTAGGAGTTTTGGTATATAACCTTCTTTATTGATAGTTAGCACATATCTCAAATGCTAAAACTAAGGATTTTTTTACGGTAACTAAGGATTTTTCGATCTCATAAGATATCAATGAACTATATTTATTTCGTCAACTTCGATTTAATTTTTTTTTGTGTGTCAAATTTCTGATTAATTGGAACACTTCAACATTAATAATACTATGATGAGCACTTTTGTGAGAATTTATAACAAGACCAAAAACAACAACCAGTAGGTAATAATATATTTACTCTTCCATTCTTTTTAACTTCAAATTCATTCATTCGAGAAAAGAACATTGTACCCGCTAAATCATATATCTTTGGACTAATATTGTATCTTGAAGGAGCTAGATTTTTTCCAGTGCCTACAGCCTATTGAGAAGCTATTCCAAGATAGTCACAGAACCAAATGGACCTCCATTATTTCATCTGCTATAACTTGAGGGGAATTATAAATTTAACATCAAGCTCACAGATTATAATCCGTTGAACCCCATAAGTGAATACACGATTTTTAAGGTAAGGAACGACGAAAAAGAGTAATCTCAGACGATGTTGATCACAGACTAAAATCGTTCAACAATTCAAATTATTAAAATAGTTCAACAATTCAAAAGAATAAACATTGTACTGTTTCCGACAATAATGACTAACAGACTAAAATCGTTTTATGAAAAATGAAAGAGAACCCCATGCAAGGGAACTGACTCCTAAATACCAATTAAAATTATCCTTCTAATTAATCCTTATCGTGAGAGATTAATGCATGTTTTCCTTTTGGCTTGTTTGCATTACCTCTGACATGAGCAACAACCTCATCGTTATCATCTATCTATCTATCTATCTTCTATACTATATATTATGGCAATTCAAAACCAATCTCTTGCCACATAAGCACTTGGATGATCCACAATTTGCCAAGTTGAAAATTTTTTTTTACAAACAAAAAAATTAGTTATTAATGTATCTATGGAGCTACCTCTCTCATCTTTAATATTTCCATTTCTTTTATCAAATTATTCTTTTTTATTTATCCATTTATTCTTTTTTTTGTTTAATAATAAGTTACATGTTGATAAACTCAACCAAACACACATAAATAATAATTTTTTATCAAGTAACAAAATATAAATAATAAAACAGAGAGTGACATATATCACATTTGTTTAAATAAAAAATATCTTATTAAACCTTATGAAGTAAATTTTCTACTCATTTTTATTAAAATTGAAAGATAAGTTACATTTTGCTGAAAAAATTAAACAAACATACACATAAACAATAATGTTTTTATCGATTAAAAAAATATATATGAAAAGATAGAAAATAAACATTTGACATTCAATTACCTTTGAAAAATAAACTATATTACTTTATATTTTGTTGCAAGGAAACAATTCTTATTCGTAAAGTATATGTGTATAAAATAAAAAAGTATTATTTAGCAAAATGTTAGAGTATAATCTTGATCGAGTAGTTACATTTATTTATTTATTGAAAAAAATACTTCTTATTCATTCAGATCATGTTCTACCTTAAACTTCTGAAATGAAGAGGAATCGCATGTGCAATAATTTTATAATGTGTCATATGTTCACATTAATAATATTTGTTCTATATCATGTTGATTGAAAAAGCTCTATTGAGGTTCTAAGTCATATGCTAAAAAAAATTATTTCGGATTGGAGTTATCATCGACGATTATAAATCAAAGTTTTCGAAATGACTTAAGTATGATTATTGACGAACTTTGACTTCATACCCTAGGATGAGACACATGATTCCTTATCAATTATTGAAATGTGTGTGTATTGGAGACACTCTTTATCAATTATTAATATATAAGTGATAAAATCTTTGAAAATTACACATTCAACGATCATGTTAATACCAAAATCCTCGATAGTGTGTGTGAGTGTCTAAGATTGAGATTCTAAACCAACATATAAACAATGACCACAGGTTGAGGTTTAGCCTAAACTTCAAGAATTAACAATTGATACATATTGTATAATATACTAAATTTAAGTGTCTTGATAAAAAAAGAACTAACAACCAAAATGGAAATGAGTCGAGATTAGAGAATTTAATCATCATGAGGGCTACGGTGTGTGTCAAGTTTCAATATAGACGAATAAACTGATCCAATACCGAAGTAGCTTTACTAAGAACATTATAAAAAAAACTTAACTAAGAATTTCTCACTAAAAAGTCATAATCTTTACAACATTGGTCGAGAGTTCGTCCAAACTCGAGGATCATGAATGTGTATTGGATTTCCAAAGGACCTAAAATCTCAATCCCTTTCGGGGGGTTAAATACCTCTGATCACAACCATAGATGCCAAAGAAGAATGAAAAGAAGCCCAAAAATAGCAACATAAAACATAACCTCCAATGGTTGTCTGACGTTATGAGGATAAAAGCGGGATCTATATCACGGGGGTGGGGCATAGGCAAGCAATACTCTTAATATGAGTATTTGGCGAGATAAGATAGGTCTGACGATTATCTTGATAATTTTGAGTCTACTATATACACACAAATATATATATATATATATATATATATATACATATATATATATATATATTTATAAAATATCAATGTATACTATACTTTTGATTTTACTCAAGATACGATAGAAGATAGGTATGACGAAGTATGTGCATAAATTAGTGATTAGTGAATTAGGGACTGGAGTTCACCAAGTTAGGGTATAGTATCATGCCCCAAAAAACTCCGGTTAATTCGGGGTGTAAATAGTAAATCTCAATGGTCGTATGGTAGTGTGAACGCAAGAGTATAGTGTACTCCTGGTGCACGCTAGCTTGAACTATATAGATGTGTGTGTGTGTGTGGTTTAGGTTGGCGTACGCTAAATATTAGTGTTTTGGTTGACAAATTTCGACATAAGTTCTAAATGGGATGTGACACGGCATAATTTATGATTAGAAAATAAAAAGCATCACAAGTGAGTGCGCTAAATATTGGAAATTTTCAATATAGACATACTACAAACTTTGTTATGAATCAAGTACACAAAATAATTAGAAGATCCAAAATGATTTAAACATATAAATAAGTTAATTAATATAAATTATAAAATAAATCTCTCCGGCCAACGGGCCGGGTAAAAAACTAGTTGATAAAGTGACACATTTATCTCCAATATCAATTGACTTTTCCTTCTTCTCTTGGATTTCAGTTATCTCTTCCTTGTTTTCCTGCATTTCATTGAGCACAAAAGTTGATATTAAAATATATTTGCAAATACAAATCATATTTTTCATTGGAGTAAAAATTCACGTTGTCCAAGTCACGAACATTATCCTGGGTTTGTTCTTTCTCCCCATCACCAGTCTTTATACCTTCCTCATGAGCAATGTCTTTCTTCTTCTAAAATTCACAATCATCTCTAACACCGGTTCCATCACCTCCCACCACTAGCAGTGCCATTCTTGTTTTCCTGCATCAGCATTATAAATTTAGATAATTGACATTCAAAAGTACAACCTATGGAATGATTTTATCGAATCATGATTGGTCCATATATATTGTAGATAAAATTGCCGGATGTAATTGATTGCAAGTTAGTGGGAAAGGAAGCGAAGTTGCACACCCAATACAAAGATTTAAAATATAAGATCCTCCATATTTCCAGGCCG